CTGGACAATTCAACCGTGTCATATAGTTGTCAGGTTGGGCGGAGGTTGAGAGGAGCACCCAAATTCAGAGACTGAAGGTTTCTTGCACGTTTAATAACAAAAAAGTGAGGCAAAATACAAAAATACTAAAAAACAGAAAAAAGTAGTAGACTAGTATCCTTGGGGAGAACTCACATGAAGGGGAAGAAATGACGACAAACCACCAAACAGCGACTGAACAGGAGATGTACAGTAAATATTGGAGACAGAAACAAAGACCAGGCAAATCAGCAGACTGGGAGCAAGTGTGGACAGAGGAGTCTAGAAGGGAGCTAGGGGAAAAAAGACCGACACAAGAGGGCAACAAGAAATACCTAAGAACTCAAATACAATAAAAAATAAGTAGAATAACACAAAACGGAAATAAAACAATGAAAACACAAAGAGAAAATTTTAACAAAACTAAAACCATGACAGTAGTCACGTTTGTTAGAAGATTTTTTCTAGGGAAGCCCAACTGATTGCATCCAGTCATTGACATAACACTTGGTTGATGATGGTAGTGAATTGCCAGACTCTTCTAAATAAATGCCCATTTTCAAAGTATAAAGATGATTGCCCTATATATCTATTCATGCTTTCTAATTAGACAGATAAAGATACTTCGATTTGCTTACCTGTACCATTAGAAGCTGTTGCTTGTCTACCGTGTGGCATAGTGCAAACCTAGTAGACGTGCCAAGCATAAGGCAGAGCAATAAAAGATGCACAAAAGTCTTCAAACACGGCAATCTATAGCGCAAATAATTTAGAGATGGCACAGTAAAGAGAATAAAGATCAAATTGAGAGCATATGACATAAAATAATACACCTCCTATTAACCGCTGTGAACCACTTAGTGAATCTAAAAAATAATCCAACATAAATGAAAATTTGTGCACAGAATTCCTGTTTTCAAAATCATAGTAGTGGTTGTCCTCTTATCATTCATCATACCTGTTGGTTAAAATGTGTTTACTACATTTAAAATTCCTTAATCTCCACAACTGAAAATGTTACCTTTATTCTTCACAGTGTCTGAAGTGGGGCTTATTCTCCTGGGAGACAGCTGGTCAGAAAAGAGCTTAGTTGGAAACCTAATCCTGGAAAAGTCTTTATTCAACTCAAGAGAAGAGCAAAAAAATGTAATAAAACATCAAAACATAATTGAAGAGAAGAAACTGATTGTCATTAACACGCCAGATTTGCTTCATCCAAGGACACCTGAAGAAAAACTGAAAAGAGAAGTAGACTCTTGTTTGAGACTTTGTGCTTCTGTTCCTCCTCTGTTTCTCCTGGTTGTGCAGCCAGAAGACTTTACTGAGGAAAAGAAAAAGAGATTCTACAAGGTTCTTGAACTCTTCGGTGAACAGTCATTTGATTGTTCCCTAGTTCTGATATCAACATCTAAGCAGAAGAATCCAAGTTTAAATCAAGGTGTACAGGAACTGATCCAAAGAAGCAGAAACAATTCCATCATTCTGAAGGACAATGATAGAAAAGAGTTGATGGAAAAGATTGGCAACATTCTACAGAAGAGAAATGAAGCGCAACAAAGACTTCAACGTCCAAGAATAAAACAACTCAGGCAAGGTTCTTCTGGTTCTGGTTCTTCTAGTTGTACAGCTGGTGTTGGTAGGTATCAGAACAGAGGTATTGTTACATCTGTGTTTTTACTACCTAAAACCTTTAATGTCATATGCTCAGAAACCTTATGACGATGGTACCTCTTTACAACAGGCTACATCTAACACAGTTAAGATAAAGCTGCAACAGTTAATTCTAATTTAAATTTAATCCAGTGTATTTATGTTCACCAAATCCCAACACATGTCATTGCAAGGTGCATTACAGAGATCTTATATACAGATTTACAAAAAGCCTCTAAGAAAACATAATCTGATTGCTTTGTAACTTGCAGGACAGGCTCCTTGTAGATCAGCATGTGGAACATTCAAAAAACAGGGCGGGCTTTCTTGTACAGCTGTGTACCAGATGTGTTTAATTCCTAATTGAAGTACAGAAACTTTTGTGTCAATAAGTAACTTTATTCAAAGACCACAAACATTAAATGAGGCATTCCCCAAGAGTCCATCTTAGGACCCTTTCTATTGAATATCATGCAACACCTCCCTCAGATTGTAATAAACAACAACAACAACAGGTTACCATAACTATGCCAAAGATAAAATGCAGTGCATTAAAAGTTCACAAGGTGACTATAAACTAATTCAAGTGCTGGCTAAAAGCGTAAAGGAAAACGACATAAGATGTGCCGAACTTTTCCTTAGCGGAGTCCTATGGAGCGATATTTGTGCCTTGTGTTTGAGAGTGCAGGAACCAATCCAAGCACGCAGTGAGACAACACGCGTGCTCAAAACCGGTCTGGCTCAACAAAACTCTTCTCAAGCCCCTGTCCTCGTGTGCGGTTCCATCTCTGCGTGTGCTCGACTCCATCTCTGTGCATGCTCGACCTGCTCTTTCCGTGCTTCATATTTGCGCACTTGGCTGTTTCTCTGCTCGCTCGACCTTGTCTTTGCACTCATGACTTCATAAATATACAGTATTTCACGACCATAAGGCGCACCGTACTAAAAGGCACAGTCTCAGTTATGTGTGCCATTTCTGTATTTAACACACACATAAGGAGCACCGGACTATAGGGCACGGGTTTTATATACCGGTACGTCCTCTACTACGTTTAAATACCTCTACTGCATATTTAAAAATAGAGCGGGAGCAAAACTGAGTATGTTTGTGCTTTATTCATGTATTTATTACAAAGTATCAATCAAACCTGGGAGCTGGCTGTGAGACAGACACATCGCTGATGACACAGAGCGCTGTGATCACTCCTCTGAAACAGTTTATTGACGCACAGCTCGACTAAACTTGTGTCCAAATCTGGACCAGTAATGAGAAGGGGGTTGTGGGGCAAATAAATACCTAGCAGAGGGTGGCAACTGTAACACATGGACAGGAGCAGCTTGAGCTCTTGCTGTCTCAGTGGACTACCGAAATGATTAGGAGAAAAACATCCTGCAGAATGGGATAAGGATTACATGATGGGCAGCAGCAACATTCTTGTCCACTACTGTTGAGAAACACCTTCATGTTTTTTCCCCGGGTCCGTTAATTCGAGTGCAGGTAACTTAACTGAGATGGAGTGTCCAAAATTCTGGACAACAACGCTTCGATTCGCCTTTGCAAAGGGAGAGGAGCATCAGCAGCACGCATCTGCGAAAAGCAACTCTGCCCCCCCCTGCATTTACCGGCTCTTTTTATAATCTTCATAGGGGAACATCTTTCAGTTTCACACAGACAGTCCCACAGAATGATCGTACTCCCTACTTCCTATCTCCAAATATGGAGTTGCCTCCTGCCTTTCTGCTCCACTGTCAATCAGCTTCTTTCTGTGTGCACCTGTTGTTTTCTACACTCTGTTCTTTAAATCTGCCCTGATACATATGAACAATAAGTTTTGCAGCAGCTTTAAATTAGCTCTTTACTTCTTTTAGCTTAAACATGTATATATATCTTCACTACCTAAAATAGTTCTCAAGTTATACATTGTTCTCAGGCTTGAAAAATTAATTTGTATAAAAGGCCCTTGCCAATGTTTAAAAAATGAATCTGTTTGATCAATTGACTGTCAATCAATGACAGAAGTGAAGAACACCAAGCTGAATATCTAGAAGACTATTCACAGTTTAAAGCTTTACGTTAAACTTTCGGATTTTCTCATAATCTTCTACTGTGGTTAAATCTTTATCAAAGCAATGATCAATCACATATGAATCTAATTTTTCCTGTATGTAATGTAAGTAAACATGTAAGTAATAAAGTAATGTAAGTAAAAAAGTAATAACATAAAACATTTGTTTAGACAAAGAATCTATATATGGAGCCCTAATGATATTCTGCATGGATCAGTAAAGCTCTAGTTATCCTCCAGCAGCAGTCTGTCACAGTAAGCTTGTCGCAGATATTTTTCATTTATGCTTAATATTGAAGCATGGTCAGTGCTATGTTATTCCACGCCACATGAAAGAGGGCCAATCAGAAACTAGATGTGGGACTAGATACGGCCGAGGCGGTGAGGAAGTTGGGGTAAGTTTGTGCAACAACGGAGAGAAATGAGGGTCAAAAAGAGCGGGGATCCAGGTGGAAAAAGGGTCCTAGCGTTCTCGCATACCCCCTCTTCTAGCTAGTCAAACCTCACGAGTTGTTTTCCACAATGGCGGTCATACAAACAAAACAATCATGCAAGGTACCTACAGTAACAGGCAATACACATAGTGTAGAGCGGATGTAGAATTGACCAATCAGAGGCCTCCTTTCTGCGGCACTGTCTGCAGTCACCTACAATTTTGGAGAGGTGCAGCAGAGTGTCTGCAAAATAAGCAGGGACATATCTGTGTTAAGTGCGACACACACGCAGATGACCTGGTTTCTGAGTATAAACCAAGCTTAAGGCTACTGATCCTCATTGAAAGTGGACAGTGGAAGTCAGCAGATTAATTGCATCACTAAAGATGTGGGAGGTATCACTTGTCATTGTGTCAGAAAACTGAGATCTATTTCTATTCATTATTTTATTAATCGTTTTTTATTCTATTTCTTCACAGGTCGAAGTCTCGGGATTATGCTTTTTGGGGCAACTCTATCAAGCAAGAAACAACTATGTAATTTTATCTTAGAGAAAAGAAGTTCAGAGATTTCAACCATATCTAATCAAACAAAACAAGTTGAGCAGGGGTCATGGCAAGGAAAGGTCTTAACCATTGTGACACCTCCAGAAATCCAGATGGGGAATGTCTTAAAAGAGGACCTGAGAAGCTGTGTAAATCTTTGTCCTCCTGGACCAAATGTTCTGCTGCTCTTAGTTAAACCGTCAGACTTTACAGAGAAGGATAGTAGGTTTCTGAGGGCCACCCTGAGTTTGTTTGCTGAAGATGCTTTTAAACACTCAATGGTCATCATGACTGAAGAAGGGAATGAAACAAGTTTTGCCTTTAATTCGCTAATCAGAGAATGTGAGGGTAGACAATACAACCTGACTGAAAATAATCACCAGAAATTAATGGAAAAGATTGAAGATATAAGGAAAAGAAACAACAGTGCCTTCCTTAGCATCAAAGAGGATGGAGCAGCATTGAAACTTGACCAGTCACTGCCATCCTTAAACCTGGTTCTATATGGGGGGAGAGGATCAGGAAAGACCTCAGTAGCCAAGGCCATTCTAGGTCAGACAGATCTTCTTTCAGCCTCCAGCTCATCAGAGTGTGTTAGAAACCAGGGAGAAATGTGTGGACGTTGGGTTTCTGTGGTGGAAATGCCTGCACTGAATGGAAAACCTCAGCAGGAAAAGATGAAGGAATCATTCAGGTGTATCTCCCTCTGTGAACCTGAGGGTGTCCACGCCTTCATCCTGGTCCTACCTGTGGGTCCCCTCACCGATGAAGCACAGGAAGAGTTACAGACCATACAGGACACATTCAGCTCTAGAGTCAATAACAACACAATGATTCTGTTCACTACAGATTCAGATCCAAAACATCCAGATGTGATAAAGTGTCTTAAAAAAGATAAGAACATCAAGGAGCTCATTAAGAGATGTGGAAAAAGATACCTTGTTGTCAACAGCAGTGACAGGAAGCAGTTCTCTAAAGTAATAGATTTTGTAGGGAAAAGGGAACAAAGCTGCTACACATCAGGAAATCTATTTGAAGGCTACTTGGATAAACTCCAACAAAAAGAGGAAAAAATTGCCAGACTACAGAGCCAACTTTCCAAGCTGTTACCACAGACTGGGTTCAGTGGTAGGTATTTAAAAAAATATTTTGCTTATATATTGAGCATAATTTTGTTTTTGTCATTAAAAATGTTACAGAGACACCATTAAGTAATTACAAAGTCAGAAATGTGAAAAATCTGTAACATTATTAAATGAATTTGCTTGGTCAGTCTCAATTTTTAACATTGCTAAGACTTTTAACAAGTAAAGGTGGATCCGTCATATTTTCATCATTGTCAACATTATTTTCACTATTTTCCATTTTGATTAAAAAATCCCTTTTCTGCTGCCCCCTTAACTAAATCAATTCAATTCAGTTTATTTCTATAATGCCAATTCACATGTCAGCTCAAGCCTCTTTACAGAGAGAATTCAGTGGCGTTGGATGTAGGAGTTTGCCCTGACATCGAAGGGTTGACGGTTCAAGCCCAGACTCTGACTTTCAGTGTCGTTGTGTCCTTGGGCAAGACACTTCACCTGCATTGTCTACTGATGGTGGTCAGAGGGCCCGGTGGCGCAAGTGTACGGCAGCCCCGCTTCTGTCAGTGAGCCCCAGGGCAGCTGTGGCTACAATGTAGCTTGCCACCATCAGTTTGTGCGTGAATGGGTGAATGAATGTAGTGTAAAGCACTTTGGTCAAGTCTCCTGACTTGAATAAAGGTGCTATATAAGTACAGGCAAAGTTTTCTGTCTAAGAAAACTAAGAAAAGAAAGGATTGACTCATTGACTCTAAGCATGTTTGTAGCGACAGTGGAGAGGAAAACTCCCTTTTAACAGGAAGAAACATTGGTCAATGCATGATACTTTCTTATCTCCTAATTTTTAGACTCAGTACAATGCCAACTACACACATAGGTCCACTTTGACTTTTGACTCCAGGTTTTGCCATTTTTGCCAACTTTTTTGTAAAGCTTGCACCCAAGCAGATCTTTTTGGTTATTTTTTGTTCGAAAACCACGCCGCTCCCCCACCGGACGAAGCCAAAGCAGCACAGCCACGTCAAATTAAGATGCCAATATTACATTTAATTTTCTTTTTTTAATTTCTGCATTGGTAGAGGTCCCTGCATACATAGCCTTATCCACTTTGTGCAGCTGCTGTTTTGAAATTGAATTTGATAACAAAAGATTGATCTATATTTTTTAGTCCAGGTAAAAAAATATCAAATGCTTGAATTTATTCCTATAAAGTTCATCTTTAATTTTAAACATATTTTGTGTGTTTTTAATCACTTTCTGTCTTGCTTCATATTTCTCTCTCAGCTGGATCAAAGTATTACCAAACATGATTTTTTTTTTTTTTTAAACAGTTTATTTTTTATCTTTTAAATTAATCCTCTAATTACTCTTAACAATTTTAAAATGTAATAAGAAACAACATGTTGTATAACTTTGTTGGCCCGTATCATAATATAAAATCCTTATTAGTGCTCAATAGTCATTTTATGTAGTTTGATGCGTATGTACAATGGTTATTTATGTATCAAAAAGTTGTAAATTATGCTTTCATAAACTTCAGCATGCCATAGTTCAGTTCAATGCAGTTTCTTTCATAGTTAGCTTTTATCTTATTGAACATATTTTTAAAAAATAAAATATTGGCTAGTGAAAATGCTGGGTGGCTAGTAATTTTGGAAAATCAAACTCACAGTTCATGTTAAGCTCTGTTCAGGAATAACTGAAATCAAATAATTCCAATGCATTGGTCCCATCATCACCGTTCGGAGGAATTTGTACTAATGCACAATTTTTGGACCACTCTATAAAGAATGTTGTTTTCCTGCATTAGAATGAGCCTGTCCTCTCAGCAAGTTCAGAGAAGACTGGTAGTGGTTGACCAGACCCAAGAGGATAAAATAATTTAAACCAATTACATTCTATGTAGCAAATGATCTCTGATTATCCTGGAAGTTTTGACCATGGTGGAGCATGTTCTCCACACAGACCGCATTTAGAAATGATCTGATTTGTCACTGACTGTAAGATAGCTTTATCTATGCAGAAATGCAAGCCAGTGTAAAACAACATTTTCACTGCAATCATTTATATGGTTTCTCAATGAACAACATTGGAGGCCGCATCTTTTGCCTATGTGCTCAGCAAAACTGATCTGATCTACCTGATCTGATTCTGTTGCATTGGTAAAATTAAGCGAGCTGCCTTTTGGTGGAATCCACTAATTGCTGGAAATGTCACTCAGAACTGAGTGTCCAAGCCTGGCTTTTTTGAAAAACTGTTATGAAAGGCCCCCTCAGGGCTAAATCTGACCTTCTGTGTTCAGCTGTAACAACAGAATCTTTTTTTTTTTTTAATGAAACACAGCGAAACGTCCATATAATGCATCATTTAATTACAAATAAGAGGTTTTGTGTATCAACCTCAGTTTAAAAAAGGACAATTTTATTTTATGTTTATTGGGTAAACAAATGGATGTAAGGTTAAAAAAAGAAGAAGGTTAAAAGCGTTCGGCACACATTGATGAAGGACATGTTTCAAATCTTGTTGGATTTAACTTCAATTCAACAAGAGCATTATGAAATGTTGTTTACAGGATCCGTTTTTTTTTTCCCAAAAACCTAGCATGCTGCATAATCTGCCTCAAGAATCATCTCCCTGGATGTTTTAAATGTCTCTCTGTTGCAGAATACCTGATTCAATGATTACATGACATTTGCAGAAAGTGCTAAAAAATAAATATAGATATGAATGTAATGCTCTTCAGTGTTATAAATTGTTCAAAACTGGGGACTGAAGACAGTGTCAGTCAAATTATACATGTAATATACATGTAATATCAACTATTTTTCAAATAGCACATAAATCTAATATAAGATAACTATAAATTATGCCTAAAGAACTTTGGTGGGAATGTAGCCTCACATAGCAGGAAACCAGTTATTTCATTACCATCTGCTGTAATGGTTTAGTTCTCTTGAACATTTGACTCATGTTAATATTGAAGTCGTTGCCTAGATCATGTATGTTGATCTTATGCTGGAAATTGAACAGCACTGCATCTTGAGTTGAAGGTGATCTTATTTCCGCTGTTCCATCTTTATCCTTAGAATAGATGTCTATTCAACCTGTTGAATAGACATCATATATCATCCAAAATGTAGATGATTTGTTTTTTGTATTCTTTTCTTGGGTTCTAGTAAAAGGTTCTTCTTAAAAAACTTTCTAAGTAAGCTGACCTTTGGCCTTCTGTTGCAGGAGATGAAGACAAGTGGACTCGTGAGTGCATCAGGATTGTTCTGATTGGAAAGACTGGGTCTGGGAAGAGCTCTTCAGGAAACACTATTCTGGGTAGAGAAGAGTTTGAAGCCAGTATAAGCTTTAAATCAGTCACAAAGTGTAGTAAGAAATCCCTGGGTGAGGTGGACGGCCGTCCTGTTGCTGTGGTGGACACTCCTGGTTTGTTTCATTCCCTCTTTTCACACAACGAAATACAAAAAGAATTGTTTGAATGCATCAGCCTTTTGGCTCCAGGCCCCCACGTATTCCTGGTGGTTTTACAAATTGGAACAAGACTCACAGAGGAAGAGAAGGAGACATTAGAACTTATTAAAAGAAGTTTTGGAATCAATTCTGAAAAATTTATCATCCTCCTTTTGACAAGAGGAGATTTGCTAAAAGGTCAACAGTCCATCGAGGAGTATATAGAAAATGACTTAGATGATTCCTTTAAAAAGCTTATTAAGGACTGTGAAGGAAGATACCATGTCTTTGACAACTGCGACATCCAAAACCGCAAACAAGTAACAGAGCTGATGAGAAAGATTGACAACTTGGTGACTAAAAATGGATGCTTCACCAACGAGATGCTGCAAGAGGCTGAAACAGCCATACAGAAAAAAATTCTGCAAATTCGCAAGGAGACAGAAAAAGAAAAGCAAAGAGAAAAGGAGAAATTAGAGGAAGGATACCTCAAGGAGAAGGATGAGAATGAGAGAAAAATTAGACCAAAAACTGAAAAGTAGATTAAGCAGAAAGAAGACAAAACTAAGTAGATCGAGAAGAAGCTAAAGGATGATGAAAAAGAAAAAAATAAAGAGCAAGAATGGAGAAATGAAGGAACCAGCCAAATGGAAAAGTGAGAAAGAGGCTTTGATGGGCAAAATCGACCAAAAATACATCTGGGAGAAGGAGCTGGAAGGGATAAAGATGTCAAAAACTAAAAAAGAGAAAAAACCTTAAACATTATTATGAACATATGAAGGAAGGTTTAACAAAACACAAGCCGATAATGGAAGAAGAGATTAACATGAACATGCAAAAACTGAGATGTATACAAACACAACTTAGAAAAATCGAGGAAAAATAGGATCGACAAAAGCCTAAAGAGTTTAATTATTTCAAAAAGGATTATTCTAAAGATTTCGAAGCCCAGATGCTACAGCAGCATGAAAAATATAATATTCTTAAGGAGCTCCAAGATATGGTGACTAGAATTCTGAAATAAAATCTGGGGACATCTCTAGCTTGTAGATAAAAAGAAATACATATAATAAAAATTGAATTAGGAAACTATGCTTTTATCTATTTTAAATATTTAAACAACAAAATTCAAGTGTAAAATCCAGGAATGTGCCTCTCCATGCTTTTAGTATTTCCTAAGATTAATAAAATGAATCAATTAATAGTAATTATAAGTGCCATCTCGTCATTCATTCTTCTCTTTTTTTAGCTCCTTTTTTTTTTACTTCTGTCTGCTCTCTGTTTTACTCTTTTTAATTAGATTTTTTGCCTCCTTCTCTGCTCTCATTCAATCTTCTTTCTTCAATCTTCTGATCTTCTTCCTCTTCTCTTCTATCAATCTTACACTTTTCTCAAACAGATATATAATACAAAATCCCTTCTAAACACATCAGTATATACAACACGGAAATGTACAATTTAATAGTTAAAAAAGTTTCTAGTTTAACATGCCTATAGGAAGCTTCTTTTGGATGAGATACATGGGGTTATTCAAGTGTAGCAACAAAATGTATGACCCATCATACATTGTGACCCAAAGAGACGCTACATCTATCTCACCATACACTTCTTTATGTTGGGTAGGAATCCAGTGAAGTTAGGGTTAGTAGATAGCAGACTGGTGAGGAGACTCTGTTACAGCAGACGCTTTGGTCACATTATGATGGGATTTTGTTGTAACACCAGTATAATCTCATCTATTGTCACATCTGATTGAATACTAAACAGGCTAATTACCACAAAATTTGGAACTACAAGTAAATACAACATAATAAATGAACATTAACATATGCACAGATCTCTTCCTATTCA